AGTCCACAATTAGTTCACAAATCAGTTTTAAAATGTTAATGACAAATTAAACATACCACCTCTGCCTACTCTTCCAAAAAGAAACTGACCACATTTCATTTTTTTGCCAATTACAAGACAAATCTCATATCTCTTACAATTCAGACGCCCAAAAATCAACTCATCATAGTTCTTACTCTGCTGAACTATGGATTTGATCCAGTTTCCCACACCTTAATTTAAAATCTCTCGTGTTCCTAAAGCTAGCTTCAGCAAGCATTAATATCCCAACTGTCAAGTGTACGCCTTAAGTGTTAAGCAGAAAAAACACCATTAGGAAACACTTGCATACATTTCCCTGGCTGGCAACAGGATACGCATGTCAACAAAGAATCCTGACTCCTTTGTCTTCAAGCAAATAGTAAATCAATCTTCTCAACTTTAAACTGAAGCAACTTCAACATATGGTCACTCATTTCACTGTCACTCCCACACTAAAAATCTATTGCCAGGACTACTTAAATATCCATCCTTGCCAATTACCATTCAAGGCTCAAAGGGAGCTTTTGACTCCATAGTCATATTCAAACTCTGGAAGAAACTTTCAGTAGTATCAATGGACAAAGCGCTTTTACAATTATTGCCACTTACTATTCAAAAACAGCATCTAGGGTATGTTACAAGATTCATGGTGCCCTGTCCAAGAGTTTCTCAGCTAAGATGAGTACAACAAGGATGTCCACTTGCTTCACTACTTGTTAACTTATTCTTGAATGATATAAAACAGGTGCTGACAGGGAATCAATTTCATACATTCATGATTTTGAAAGATCCTCTCCCTCTCCTGCTTTATAAAGATGACACAGTGATACTGTCACAATCTCAAATAGGTCTCCAAAGGTTATTAGGTGCCTTTCAACAGTATTGCACCCCAAACAGCTTAGAAAGTATTGGTCTATGAAGATGGAAGGGGGGAAAAAACCATGAGGTATTCTTTTAAATACCCTGGAATCTACTTTAGCAAAAGTTTGAGATGGAAAAAGCCTAGTGAAAATGTAATTACTAGATCAAAACTTACGTGGAGTTTTATGTTTTTACAGTAAGATAAGCAGAAGAGCAGTTCTGGAAGCTCTAAGGGGGTCATACACATGCTCCAGGGTGGAGGGGAGAGAGCCAGCATTTTATTTGTAGTACGATTTTTTTTCCCCCCTGGCAGTTCCTTGCCAAAAATTGCAGGTAAGTCTCCATTTTGTGAGGTTCACGGAAACAACTTTTTCGCAGTTTGTGTAAAACATGAAATCATGAATACACATTACACATAATGTCCTAGTAAGTTACTTAGATTTATTTATTCATCCGTAACTCCTGAATAGGTTGGAAAAAGTGGCTTTAGGGCCAAATTCCATACCCTGCACAGAAGGTTGCCTCAGGCCAAAGCCAGCTAGAGGTCCTATGGATCATGAAATGGATGCTGACCTCTATGTCCTCAGTGCATGGCACAAGGAACAGGGTATGTATGCACTCTACAGGTAATGCTCACTCTGAGCTCAAGTGTATAGAATGTACACACCCCACCAGTGGAATGTGCCCATGGACAAACATTTCAAAGGAGAACTGAACTCTGCCTCATGTACAGGGACATACGTGAGGCACATACATGGAAGCTCCACATTTCTTTGTGACATGAAAGAGCACCAATAGGAAGTGACAACAACAGGGTATTTCCATGGATGTTTAACTCTTATACTATTAATGATACTTTCAGTACAAGTGAAACGTGGCTATAAGCTGCCTGATTTGCATCTTGAATGAAGAAATATTTTTGAAGTTGTATTACCCCCAAATGTGACTTCCATATTAAATTGATACTAATTGGTAATAGTCATGAGACTACTGTTATCAAAGATCTAAAGACCTTTCTTTTTAGCAGCAAAAAAGCCATAAATATTTTAAATAGCAGCCACCAGAACAAATCTAAACATATAAAACCTGCAAGCAGTGAAAGATTTTAACCCAGGTTGCATTACATAAGGAGTTATAAATTATATTTAAAGAAAAAATGATGAAACACTATGAGAAATGTTATTTTCAAAGTTAAGAGAACATTTTTAAAGGCATGTGAATCTAATTCTGGAGCTCTGGACTGCCACCCTTTCTGTTGATGTCACACTGATGAAGCCAAACACCAATTCATGTCAACAGATACAACTGCAGCCAAATGAAGCGTCAGACAAATATTTATACACATGCATTTTGAATGGGCAAACTCAGGTATAAGAAGTTTCATCTTGGTAAGACCCAAAACAAACTAAATCTTTCTTACCTTAGCAGTTTTAATATAGTGGCTCAAAACCTCAGCTCTTATTTTTAAAGTTTGTGCATGAAGAATCTCTCTAACCACCCAGAAGCTTACCTAAAAAGCAAGAAAATAAGCTTATTAAAAAGGACAACTGTTAGTTATGCCATCAAATGAAATGTAAATGAAACAATTACATTTATTAAAAGTAAAAATATGCTATATCCATCTTGCAACTTTAAATTATAACTAAGACAGGAAAAGGAGAAGTTATTGCAATAAAAACCTTAATTCAGGGGTTCTCAAACTTTGTGATACCATGACCCCAAGTGCTGGATGGTGGCAGCAGGGAACAGCAAGCTCACATGCGACAGCCACTGCTACCATCCATCACTCTGCACTGCCATTGCGTGCCTCTTCTTTGCACTGCCGTGCATACCCCCTGGGAAGTTTGCAGCCCCCTTTTCAGAGATTTCATAGACATTTGGGTTGGAAGGGACCCCAGAGGATCATAGAGACCAGCCCCCTGCCCCAGGGGCAGGAAGTCAGTAGGGATCATAGGATCCCAGCAAGATAAGCATCCAAATGTGTCTTGAAGGCATCCAAAGTGGGTGCTTGAATCACCTCTGGCAGCAGTCTATTCCAAACCTTGGGGGCTTGGACAGTAAAGAAGTTCTTCCTTATGTCCAGCCTTTTAAAGCTGCTTGCAACCCCCACCCCGGAGGGTCAAGACTCACATTTTGAGAACTCCTGCCTTAATTGGTAAAAGTTGCATGTACCATTTATTCAACTACTTTACTTGCTTAATAATAATTACACCCTTGCTGTGTGCAAAAATAACATTAATTTTACAAAGAGCTTTTTTTTTTTTTTTTTCAATTTCACAGTACTGCATCACTTGTATTGTCCCCCACTGGTTCCCCCTCACCTACAAATTTCTCTCATGGCTACCCATTTTTAGCCAAATATAAATAAGCATTACAGTTTTACCATTGAAATAACAGTGTACAAAAAAAAAAAAAAGAGAGGCTTTTAACACCTTGTATTTTTAAAAGAGGAAAGCATTTATTATTTTGCATTGTGCAACTCAGATACAATTGAATGTATTTTGTGCAAACTTTCCAAACCCAGTTACTTTGATCTAAGACCTTGGATAAAGTCTCAGATGATTCACTGAAATCAGTGGCAAAACTCTCACTGACTTCGAGAGCCAGTATTTCACTCTTACAGTGGCAAGTTCCAAGTCCATGATAAAAGGAAAATCTTGGCAAAAAAACCCTCTCTGTGATGAAACAAAATAAGACAATTAAAATTAAGCTGCAACCTTAACTTTGAAAAAATGCATCTTTCTAGCAATGAGAATGCAAAGGCACTGATACCCTTCAATTAACTCAGTGGGATCTCCATGTGAAACCAGATCAATGACTACAGCCCTTACAGTAGCAAAGACCACTCCTCCCCCCACCACCACACCTGCATTTACTACTCTGCCAGCAACAGGAATTTTTTTTTACTACTAAAACTGTATCATCTTCCCTGAACAGCAGCAGCACTGCTGGCAGAAACCACTTTCTCCTAGCAGTCTGTATGGGGAGGTTTGCTAGCAGTTATGTCAGTTATAAGATGTGATCTTCTTGCACCTATAGCCAACTTGCCTACACATTTAAGACCACTGTCTTTTTTTTTTTTTTTACCAGGTAGGAAACGGCAGTAACTTTAACAAAATCAGGGCCCAATGAAGGAAAGCCCTGCTCTAACCTAAAAGCTTCAATGGGATTTCTTACCATTGTTGTCTAAGCTGACATTTACAAGCAACGTATGCTATATACATTTCCGTGTTAAAAAGTTTTACAGAATTCACAGATATGATTATACACTAGTATGGTTATATAAAGTATGGTATGAGATCTATAGTAAATGTGTTATTGAAGTGTTTTTTCCCCAAAAGTTGTAGCTTCTAACAAAATAAAGCAGTTGAAATTGCGTTAATGTCCAGCTCTTAATATATTTAAAACTTACTACTCAAAAAACCTACAAAATAACAGTATCACAACTTAGAATATTTTTCTAGTATAAAAAATTCTCAACAGTGACCTTGGAAAGAGCAGCTTTTTTTTTAGCAACCTTTTCATACTACACTGTTGTAAAATACTGAAGAAATATCAAGATTCAGCAGGATGTGTGTTGCTTTCACAGCTATGCAAAACACTGTATGACTACAAATGTTCTGTGACAAAACCCATCACTCCAATT